TCTAATCAGTCCGGTTTCATTACGGCAATAATATTACCCGCTAACAAAGCTTTTGGCCTATGCATCTGACAACGTAGAAATGATTTGCCTCATCAAGCACAGCCGGAACGCACAGATAAGTGGGTCCCGGATGTCGTACGGTCCCCCCTTTTTTTTCTTTTATTTTTTTTTCTTCATTAAGTTTTAAAGCTTATTCTGTTCCTTCACCGACAAGGAGCTGACAGCTAGGTGGTTTTGTTAACTTTTTCATACATGCGCGCATGTCTTCCCAGTGAGCCCCAACTGTGTGGTGACTGTCCCGGATGTCGTACTCCCCCCCCCCCCCTGTTCTTTTTTTTTCTTCTTTGATATTTAACGCACATTCTGTTCCTTCACTGACAAGGAGCCATTGCATATAATGAATATCGATGGTGGCGCCTCAGTCACCGGCTTTTTCATTCCTCCCGACGCCACCAGCACGCACTCGAAGCGCTTAAGCACTCCCCATTAAATTGTCTTAAACTTCAAAGAGGAACGAGCCGCCAGTGGACTACACGGAAAGGTGCAATAGAAGAACGGCGGCACACTGCCCACTTGAGGAAGAGTGAGTGCGGGGGAGATATTGTTGACAATGATGACATTGCTCATCTACCTCTGCTCTACTCTGTTGAGATGCGGCCCCTTTCTAATTACGCCGTGTCGGTCTTGCTTCTTCTCCTAGATTTTCTATATTTAATTTATAGTTTCTCCTCACGTTTAACTGTTTCTTCTTCTTTATTTTCTCTCTCTCTTTTCTTTCTTTTTTTTCTTTTTTTACTTTTTTTGACCCCTTCCATCCTGTCTCGCCAGGCTATAAGAAGACACGGAAGATGTGTAAATATTATTATGCCTTGAAAAAGACGGGGTTCCCGTCGAAACGTCGGCACAATGTGGAAGCGCATCTACAAATATATATATGGGATATGGCACCACGAGAGCGTTGACAACAAGGATAAATATATTTATTCTTGTTGACAACGCTCCCGTTGTGCCATATCTCATACCTTCAGGAAGACTAACTGGCCCATTGAATTATTACTCCCAATATATATATATATATATATATATATATATATATATATATATATATATATATATATATATATATATATATATATATATATATATATATATATATATATATATATATATATATATATATATATATATATATATATATATATATATATATATATATATATATATATATATATATATATATATATATATATATATATATATATATATATATATATATATGGCCCGGGAGACTCAAGAAATTAAAACAGAGTGTCAAAGCTTTCATCCGTATTATAGTAGTTTTAGGCAGAATTTCGAAGTGTTAGCTGTGCTACAGTGTCTGAATCCAGCGCATTCTCTTATCTTATTACGCTGGGAAAAATGAAAAACGGAAGGTGTTGTTACTATAAGAGTATTCCTTGTACTTTTGGGGGTGTTTTTGGCACACTATCCCTTCTTAACGGCGAAAGCTGAGGCATCGCTTTTAAAGTGGCCATTCAACAATTGGTAAAAAAACTTTCAATGGTGTATTTTTTCTCTATCGCGGAGCGTAGGCAGCTCTGCTGTGTGCAGACTACTGGAGGGGGAGTCCGTTCGCTTAAAGCGGTTAAAGATAAATCTTACCGCTTTGCGCTGTACGTTCTCGAGCATGTCTGTGTCACTGTTTATCAAAGGAAACCACACTATATTCGTGTATTTGAACATTGGTCCTATAAAAGTAATGTAAAATAAGTGCTTAGTATCGGTGGTAACGTGACGTAACGCCCGTTTTAGAAAAAAAAACTTGTTCCTTGCCTTTTTTGTCACCAGTTGCGATGCGGTGCGCGTTAAAGAAACTGGCCCGTGGTTGCAATGAATGGGACAGAAGTATCACCCGATTTACGTACAGTTACAACTTTCACGATTCTCCAGTCGGCCGGCAGACGGCAATCACCAATGGACTTTGTATATATAAGGTGAAGGTACTTGCTGATGGGTTCAGCATAGCGTTTAAAAAAGCGCTTGGTATTTGCCTGGACCACTACTTTTCTTTTCATCAAGCTCTAAGCGCAGTGAAAATATGCCGGAGGTTGTAATATTCAACGATGGAAGCGATCTGCCATGGCAAACGTGACGGGTACCCAGTATAATCTTTAGGCCGTTATCAGTGCTAAAGACTGAGTGAAAGTATGCATCGAAGTTATTCGCCTTTATCTCGCTTTCTTCAGCCGGAAACGCGGAGAATGTCGTCCGTTTTATGCCTATGTAGGGCCAGAATTTATCAGGTGTGCTTTTGATGAACTTTTGTAGAGTGCGTCCATAAAAGTTAGGTTTTGCGTCTCCTACCTTTACTTTCAATGTTAATTTTAGCGTTGCAAATTGAGAGCTAGCACTTCCTAGCGTTTTTTTTTAATCTTTCTGGCACGCTTGATTTTGCGCTTGAGGTGAATAATGTCGCGGGTTCGGTACTCACTAGCAGGCAAATATTCTTAGCTCTAGAATAAAGAAACGGCTTGGGAAATTTTTGACACATCGCATAATTTCTGTGAGGGTGAGGAGGAGGGAAAAGAGCAAAGTGAAGTATAGCCATGTGCAGTACAGTGCGCAGTACATGTGTAGTACAGTACAGTACAGTACAGTACAGGGATATAAATGTGGATATGGCTATCCATGCATGTGTACATATGGACTGTCGGTTGGTTAGGGTTTCGCCGGAGCTCAGCTTCTTTGACGCCAATATTATTGTTCGCTATTCGTTTGAGGATATGCCTGATTTGACTTATCAGTTTTGGAGTTCGTTGCATTCGTATATATATTTGCCATATTGCTGCTAATAAATTCCAAAATACGTATACGTTGTTTTTATTGGTATCGGCTGGCCTTGCAAGTGAAGCTCATTGAGATGTCGTCGTTCTTTTGCTGCTGTTGTATGGTAATTTCGGACAGCTGTGTATTCGCATTTATTAAGGGAGAACTGCAGTAAAGCCCAAGACGGGCGAGGTACCACGCAACGGTGTTTATTCCTTACTGTAGTGCGTTTTCTTGCTCGCCAGCGTTACGTGTCGTGCACCAAAGCGTGATATCAACCGCGTAGATGATATGCATAAGCGCCGGATTAAGTTCAATTATTTGGGAAGATCTTTCAATGCAATATTAAGGTGTTGGAAAAAGTATGGCCCTTTGGGGCGGTTTCCCGTCTTTGCGCATGCTTCCTTGTAGTCAAATTATTCGCAGCTATTTGAACCTGTCGGCCGCTGAGAAAACTGCGGATGCAGTCTGCTAAGAAGCGCCGGCTTTGTTTAGTTTCATAAACCTCCTTTGATAGAGGAGTGTGTTTTATAGTGTCAAATAATTTATGTATATGAAGGCCAACAAGAATGCGTGTTTGAACTCTGCTAGTCTGACAGTAAACATGCTGTTTTATAAGCTGTGCCGCGTCCTGACCGGAAACAAGGCGGCGAAATCTAATAAGTGTTGCTGGGAGTAGCTTCTGATTTTCAAAGTGCCACTCATACCTAAGAATGATCATTTTTTCATGACCTTGCGAGCACATGAGGTCAGAGAAATGGGCCTCGGATATGTAAGAGAATCCAGCCTTTTCGCTGTTTGGGAAAGACACATACAGTGGCAATCTTTTATTCAATAAGTAACTCACCAATGCGCCAGATGTCGTTTTAAAAACCTCTAAAGAATTGTTTGTTGCTCAGATTAGAGGTTCCGGCTTCGCCGTGGTGGTCTAGTGGCTAAGGTACTCGGCTGCTGACCCGCAGGTCGCGGGATCGAATCCCGGCTGCGGAGGCTGCATTCCCGATTGAGGAGGAAATGTTGTCGCACCGTGTAGTCAGATTTGGGTGCACATCAAAGAACCCCTGGTGGTCGAAATTTCCGCAGCCCTCCACTACGGCGTCTCTCATAATCACATGACGGTTTTGGGACGTTAAACACCACAAATCAATCAATCAATCAATCAAACCAATCAGCTGAGAGGTTGCGCAAAATAGAATATGTGATTTTGTCAGTGCCAGAAGATGACTTCCAGGACATAGATGCGAGTGCGGTGGAAAGCTCTGCCGCAGTGAAGACTTAGTCCAGCCCCGAACAGCTGCTCCCTGCGAAACTGGACAGCTTCTCTAGTTCTGTAGGCGGATAGAAAGAATAAGATATTGCTTTGAGAAGTTCGTGGTCGCCCAGTTGTAAAGTGAGCTGAATATTAGCTAGAGTATGGCAATCCGTCGGGCGTCCAAGAAAGTTTTTGAGTATAAGCCAAACACTCGACAGGTGTAGATGTCCGTCAATGGTTTCGCAGGTTTCCTGACAATTCTGCTTAGCCAGATCGTCAGTGTATGTCTGTATGTTTTCGTTTCACCTTGCCGTTGCAACTCACCAGTTCAACTTGAATACGACTGTGCGAGATATCTGTTCTAATAATATATTAACTAGAGCCAGTCATGCCCGGACAAATGCAGGGCTATTGAGACGAAGACAGGAGACACATATAAAAACACGGCGCTGGTTTGTGTTCCACGTGTTTCCTGAATTCATTTAAGTCGTGCTGCATTCATCCGTACATGCGAGCAAGCTGGCAGCCGAGCAACAACCTTTCCAACAGTTTTAAACTTCATTAGAATTCGTGCTTGTCCGTCGGGCCTATAGTGTGAGCGCACAAGAATTGCGACAGGCGCAGCACCTTAAGGAATCCATAAAGAAATTTACTGCGCAAAGCTGCGACGTGTGAGTCTGTCAACTTCCCGAAAAGTACGCATCAGCTGGAACGGAGCAGCTGGTAAAGAAGTGACGATTGACCTTTTTCAGAGAAACTGAAACACGGACACGAGGTGACGAGGCGGCGAGATGCACAGAGCCACAGACTCTCCGAAAGGGCAATCACGACGGCGTGTCTACAAGGCTCTTTGAGTTCAAACGTGAATCGTAAGCTTAGTAGATGCGTCATTGGCGCGCCGTTGGTGATTCATTAGGAGGCATTGTGCTCGTCAATCATCCTGCAAATGCCATTCAAGGAAGCCAGCTTCATGAGCTTGTTGCACTATGTGGACTTGTAGGAGACGCAGCCAATATCTTATGAAAGGTAAGAAGACGCATCAGCATGGAACCTACTTTGGAATACTCATTATTCGTAGATATCAGCACGCATCGCTCGTAAATTAAATTCTCAGCCTTCTGTAATTAGTGAACCAACTAGCGTAACGGTAAGCCCTGAGTTGTCATTCGGTGAAATCCTCTCTCACGAAGATATATTGTTAGTGATGAGCTTTAGCGCCACGTTCACCGGGCCCGTATTACCGAAAACCACACACTTTGCCATCATATTCGCTGCACGACGTCTGTCAGTCTCTGTTGTGAATACTGCATTCGAATCAATACACGTAGACTGAGACTACGTGAGGTTTATTGTACCTATTTAGTTTGGAGCCATGCATGTGACAAGTGGAAACCACCGCACCAAGGAACACACTAGAAATGAGCTGTCCTTCGCCGAATTAATCCTTGGTGTCTTTGTAAATTTTCATCTGACGTCTGTGACAAAGGTGTGACACCTGGCGGCGTAGTCGCCTCTACAGTGCTTAGAGGGAAGTGCTTTGTTTAGTTCATTTTGTGAAACAATGCATTTTTTTTGTTTTCACGTTGACGAGCAGGCATTTTTTTGCAACTATTTTACACGTACTGCGCATTGCCAACTCTAGGAAGCAGTAGACAAAATAAAATGACGTGGGTGCAATTAAACAGCGTTAACATGTAGGTGAATTGATAAATATGTGACGATATTGTGCTAATAATGTAAACAGTGGAGCAGTTCCCACAGCGTCGATGTCTCAGAAACGTTGCAGAATTGCTAAGAAAAGAATCTCTCCGATAGAATTTAGTAAGTCACCATTATTTTTTTTCATGTAAAGCTTACCCTTGTTATGACCCTTTTGTTCGACGCATGTGAGTCTGTGAGTGAGATGTCGGTTTAATTCAGCACTTAACGTTCGTAGTAGACAGGTTGCGCCTGTGAGCGGACGCGTCTCACAAGCAATAAAAAGTGCACGATGACGTACATAGCGCAGTAGATAAGGTATGTCACGCATAGGAATCTTGATATCTCATCAATGATCATTGTTAAGAGAAACGCGTGAAATGTTCGAGAAAAATGTGCTAGTTTTCTAAAGAACCCACATTTTCGCTATCCCTCGCGCAGTAAAAAAGAGTTAACCATAACTCATGCTCCCGCATAATTGCATTATTTTCGAAGTCGACGAAGTACTGCCATAGAGCCAAGACAACAGTTGTATCCAGAACTTCGCTAAGGCTAAGGCCGACCCGACTAATCATTCTTCGTCGATTGCCGTATTCGATCACTGTGTACTCGTTCAAGGCAAGCGTTTTCCGGTGGCCAACCCCGTTGTTGTACTGGCACAAATAAAAAAGAAATTAGAAGCTCCATGACGTTTTAAGTTCAACTGACGTCGAGGGCACTCAGTTTTGCTCTACAGCGAGCAGATACAATAGTGGGAGCGCGTATGCGGTATGGTGGCCTTTACTGCTGGAGCTAAGCAGTTTGCTTTGCCATTTCGAGAAATAGAGTAGACAGGCGACAAGTGCGACTCACTTCGAGAGTCACACAATTTGCCATGCACAAATAGGAAAAATAAACTGCGTTGGACGGATCCATGCCTAATGAAAGGGGCATTGCAATACTTTTGGAGCATGGTCAGAAAATGCTGCCGATCGGTAGTAGAGGCTCTCGACAACACGCGAGCCAAGTAATATAGCGCAGCACGTGGCCTGGAATGCACAATAAATTATCAAAGTTAGCCAAAAATAGCTTTCTATTCTGTCGACAAATCACGAAAACTAAGCTTATTAAGCCTATCTATCATACATTGGCTGATTTGAACATGGCGCGCTCGGTTGTTACAGAGGTCACCGCGAGAAACCGTCACTTGTCCACGCGTGCGCGTGCGATCGCACTGAAAAAGCCACGCATTAGAAGAAAAAAAAAGAAAGAGAAAATGTTCAAGGTCACGAAGCGCAAGTGACGTTTTTTGTTTGCCCCTCCCGTCCTTCCATGCTTAGCTTCCAACGCTTTCGTCGGGACGAGACAAGGAAGAATCTGACTGCAGCATGTGGCAAATCTTTGTAACTCCGCTCGTACTGGACAGATTCTTAAAATATTTATGGCGTTCGATTTGAGAGGTAATACGCTTTTTGCCTAAATTGATTCCATGGTTACTCAAAAAAGTGTTTCAGGGCCCCTTTAAGAGATAACTGGAGTTATTAATTGACTAAACTCCGCACTTGTCCAAAATATGACCGAGTACGTGAGATGCGTCCGATGGTCGTTTGCTGATAAGTAAGTACCTACGTTTTGCAGTGAGTTGAAACTTCGGCCCGCCTGCGATGTCTTGCGTCAAAGGCATCTTCTATGCCTGCCGATTTACCTCCGCCAAATATTTTTTTTTAACTGAACGGGCTTTCAAACTAGGATGTCGCGGACGTTTGGATGTAAGCTAATGTGGATTGATTTGATTGACAAGTGGGGTTTAAAGTCACAAAATTACCACATTTATGAGAGACGCCCTAGTGAAGGGCTCCAGAAATTTCCAGCACTTGGGGTTATTTAACGTGCACCCAAATCTGAGCACACGGGCGCAGATAATTTTTGCCTCTATCGAAAATGCAGCCGCCGCAGCCAGAATTGTATCCCGCAGCCTGTGTAAGCTAAAGTTGCTACTATAGCCGGGGCGTGGTTCTCGGTATTCTTGTTGAGTGTGAGCTGCAAATTCTCGTTGGTTTTGTTGTCCCATTCAAAATAGTGTATGTTTCAAAATGTTTCTATTTACATAGAAAAAAACTGGTACCGAGGTACCGCTTCAATGCTCATGCCAGGCGGTGAAGCGTTGCTTGTTCTTTTTTGTGAGTCACAAGTGAAGGCGTAAACCTTTCTCAGTAAATTTTAGTTTTTTCTTGCGATAAGAGCCAGCAGGTGTACCAATACAGATGGATGCCCGTGATGTGAATAATCCCTCCAAAAATCATCTGTTCAATAAACCTTGCTATTTCGTCTTACGTCACCTGTTTCCATGAGCGACCTCAGCTAGCATATAGGCTGGCGTTCCAATGTATGCGTCGTGCATATTTTTTGGCATTTTCGCACATAGAACATCGTATTAAAGAAGAGAGAACAATATCGGACGCAGATGTAATGCGTACTGCGCTGATTTGTAGTCGGGACCAAGATGTGCTGCGATGACCTTTTAGTCGCGAAAAAAAAACAACTTTGCAGCCTTCGCTAGCACTCCACACCACAGCAACATGTGGAACTCGCTCGTAAGACGAATAGCTAAAGGATTGTGCCCAAAGGTCAGCAGCTATGCACTTCCGGCGGAGGAAACAACATGAGGCCGTAAACAAAACAAACTCTTGAAAGGCTGCGGATGCAAAAGATCATCACCATAAAACTCGAAGCTGACGTGCTGTCATCCTCGGACTGTAAGCTCGTCCTCACTTGCTTCAGGTACATTTGCAAAACAGTTTCGAGCAGCCGCTGTGTGTGTGTGTGTTTTTTTTTGCACTGCAGGCGTGGACCCATGCACGTGTGACGACGCTGCCAGAGCAGCGACTAGTGACACTAGATGCGGCCCTGCGTCTGATATAACAAAACAATAAACCCAATGCTGCTAGAAACTTGCCGAGAAAGCCACCTCCAGACCTTATACATGCGACAGACCTTCGAAAACATTTTTTTTGTAGAATAAATTATCCATCACTTATAGCAACAGCTTTCTCTCGACTAGCTGGCCTAAATTTCTGGCAATTATTACTGCTAAACACTGTCAGGCTGCAGAGCGGGCACATTTATTAAATATTTGACAGAGAAAGGTTGTTTTGATAACAGATCTTTGATGTTAAAGCTTAACCATGAGGGACACGCACTTCTGTGAAGTTTGCCAGCCAGGTTATTTTCCCGACAACATTACGCATATTGACTCGCGCAAAGGTTTGTAGCAAATCACTATGTTGCCAAAACGGCCAAAATTTAAATTCATTGTGAAAGTTGAGTGGCTGGAATAACTACAACAAAGTGCTGGGTGTACGAGAAATAACAATAACAAAAACATGCCAAAATAGATAATTCAAAGCGTCGATCATCAGAGATCGATTTGAATAGGCATGGTAACGAAAGAGTTAAAGAACGTCGATCTTTAGAAAGTAGTGCCACTATTCGCACTCCGCTGCTGCCACACAACCTTATCAATTTTTCCTCGCCCCTGCCGTTTGTTTCCTCGCGTGGATCACGCGTTTTGCTTCCAATTTCTCGCTTTGACATCCCGTGGAGAAAGTAACGCTAAGTTTATTGTGCCCACAATATGCATGCTGAATGCGTGCGTCCCACTGGCATTAAGCGGGGTTTCCCTATCAACTCCGGCAACTATCCATGGCCAATCGTGGAGACCAGCTCTGCCGCCGCCGGTAGCTTAGTGAGCTGTGCTACGTGACCACGCGTCCAGATCGAGATTCGGAAGGGCGGTTCATGCGCAGTCTTTCTCACGCAGTTTATAATGTGATCTTTTACTTATGACTTTGATTGTCTTTTTCAATGCCCTTTCGCACGCGTACCGCATGCGGATGTCTTCAAAAATGGCCCTAGGTCTATCGAATCAAATGCTGAATTTCTCGCAACAAACTTGATACATTTAACGTCGACTTCAACTGTATTGAAATGCTGCATATTGCTACGATTGAAATGCTCCTCACAAACTACAGCGATCGGGGTTCACGTAACTAAACTGCCAGACAATGAAGTCAAAAGAACCATACAGGACATTGTTAGTCGCTTTTAACTATAGCATAATAATTATGACACATTAAACGGAGAGGAATTAAAGAACATTAAAACAATTGGCCTGCAGTAGTAGGTGAATCTACAACTTTCAGATAGCGCGTCCAATGCTCTACTAATGGAGATACAGTGGCGGCTATTTTTTTACATATATATGCTTATCTAGTTCAATGCGTGTAATTCTGGTAATGTATGTCATCACCTATTGTATATAGCCACCACGACGGTTGTTAAGCACTCTT